AAAAAGCTGCGGGTCCTGAACTTAACCCCACTCAAACGCAGGCCAAATACTGCAGCGAGCACAGCTGACCCTGAGCATGAGACTCACACATATACTGTACACACATGCATACTGCATATAAACAAATATATCTGTATGTATATAAATGAAATATATTTAAAATGAGGAAATATGTACATTCAAAATGTATTTGGAAATTTCTTATGCTCATCAAGGTTACATTTATTTTATCAAAACTAACAGTAAAAACAGTAATTTTGTGAAATATTATTATAGTAATAACAGTAATAATTTTTTTTTTTTTTTTTGAGGAAACTGATTTAATTTTTCAGGGTTCTTTGATGAATAGAGTTTAAAACAGCATTCATTTATAATAGAAATATTTTTGTAACATTATAAACATCTTGATGAGGATCTTCCTCCTAACATCCTTGCAGAATAAAAGTATTAATTTCTACTTCTTTTTATTTTATATTATATTATATTTTTCATTGCAAATCATATCAACTTTTGAATGAATGAATTTCAGAATGTTTTAGTAAACTTTTGAACAGTAGTGTACAGTATATCTCATGGTATTTATTAAATGCTTTTATTAAAAAAAATAGACTTTCAAAATTACAGTTGAAAATAATAGGAATAGTGACAGTAGAATGCATTATGGTAATTAGAATAAGGGGTTTAAAATATGCCTAATTGCCTAAAAAAAAAAAATAATAATCATGAAAAATATTTTAATGGTCCTAAATGTTTTGTTTGTGCACAAAATTTATTTATTTATTTTCGTTTTGGGAATCAGGCAGCTTTTGTGAGATTTAAATATAAACGTAGGTTTAGCTGTGTCTGTTCAAATGAATAAAGTATATCTAATCATTGTTTTAAAAAAATTAATAATGGTTTCAGTTTGTGTTTTAGGTGAAATTTGAGGTTAACATTGTGTCTGTGAGGTGGATGGGTGTGTGTTCAGATGTAAGTAACAGACAGTGAAGGGTCATTAGTTTGTTCGTGATGTAGTATATTTGTCGGCAACCCTGACATGCATTAGAGATCATTTAATATGTCAGTGAGTGTGTGTTAGCAGTAGAATGTAGTTTGGACCAAGCAGGCACCTGTCTTGTGTGTTAACATTCTTTTGAGACCCGTAGAGATGGCAGTGTCGTAGAAGTCCCCCAGAGGATTTCTCAGCTTGATCGTTCATTTGCTGTCTTTTCCTCCACAGAGAAATTCTAATTCACTTTCATTTCGGCTCAGCGGTTCACTTTGTTCAGGTAGCAGAGGAGTCTGGGAATGAGTGTGTGTGCATTCTGCAGTGTGTGTATGGATGATGCTCTGTTATGTTGGCATACACTGTGTGTGGCTGTTTCATATCTGCATAGTTCTACATACAGAAGCTTTATTTCTCACGGGGTTCCTAATGAACATCAGGGAGGAGCATGCTCTTTTAAGCGGCCAATCACAATGCTGCACCCGAGGGGCTTGCTATTACAGGAAACAAGCTAAGCAATGCATATGTTGTATGTAGGTTGCTGTAACCTGCCTACCTAGACAGCATTTGGAACAGACCTTTGATTCCCTAAAATGATACTTATGTAGCTAGCTCACTTTTGAAAAACGGACATACTGTATACTGTACCCGTAACATTTAGTTTCTATTTTGCATTTTTCTAATATAATGCTATTTTATTAATTTTTTTGTATTTTTTTCCTTGCAAATCATGATATCAGCTTGTGAATGAATCAATTTTAGAATGTTTTAGTAGTTTTAGCTTGATGTGATCACTTTTTTACATTTATTTAAATATTAAAATAGCGACAGATTAGTGCAGAATCAGAAATATTTCTTAGTCATTTTACATCATAACTTTTCTTAATATTAAAATATTTGAAACCCTAAAACTTAATTAGTACAGAATCAGAAATATTTCTTATTTATTTTCCACCATAACTTTTCTTAATATTAAAATGTTATTAATTATCAGATTTAAATTTTGAGTCTCATATTTTTTCAATTTAGTCTCAGGCTTTTGCATTTTTCTAATAAAATGCAACATTTTATTTTATTTTATTCTATTTTACTATATTATATTTTTCATTGCAAAACATAATATTAGTTTATGAATGAATTAATTCCATAATGTTTTAGTAGTTTTAGCTTGATGCTAATATTAAAACAATGACACAGAATCAGAAATGTTTTATTTTACATCATCTTTTCGTGATTTTAAAATGTTTGAAATTCTAAAACTTATTTCCAGGTTTAAATTGGATTTTGAATCTCATGTTTTGAATATAGTCTCAGGCTTTTGGATCCAACTGGTCTGTGTGTTTGTATGCATTTATGCGTATGGGTCACTGAAGATAAGGGAACCGGTGTGTGTTTATAACTTTTCAAGTGTTCAAACAAGTCACTAACCCAGTTCCATCAGTGTACAGTGTGTATGTGAGTTATTTAGTAGAAAAGAATGAGATGGAAGGACTGGAGGCTGATTTTACAGAGCTGTTTCCTCTCTCTTATCGGTATGGCCGTGTGGAAGCTTCTGTGCTGTTCACATAGATAGCATCTCCATCTGATCTCTCTCTCTCTCTCATCCCTGTCCCAAAGTCAACCCATCCCAGCTCTGATCTTTCCTCTCTTTCTCATCTTCTCACTATCTCCCTCCCCTTGTTATTCCCTCTATTGCCTTCCATTGCATGTTCTTTGCCTGTCCTTCACTGCTATTTGCTCTCTCTCTCTCTCTCTCTTTCTGCAGATGTGCAGATTTACCTTCAGCAGCGCCACATAAAACTGATTAACAGCACAGTATATCAGTTTATATGCAAATAACATTGCTTTAATTTCTCTGGCTGCTCATTGTGCACTGCAGAAATTTTCATTGTTTACAGTTTGCTGGTACTGTTTGCCTTCGTAGATTGATTTTTAAAAGGAGAGGCATTGGATGAGAGAGAGAGAGAGAGAGAGAGAGAGAGAGCTGACTGAACAACAGTACTGTGAGTGACTATAGGGGATGTAGAGGATTGATTGGCCTGCAAGTTTCCAGACTTTTTATTTATTTTTATTTTTTTATACCATTTTCTTCATTTCCTATAGCCTTCTCTTCTCACAGCATATTAGAATGATTTCTTAAGGATCATGTGACACTTTATACTGATAGAAATTCAGCTTTGCATCACAGAAATAAATTATATTTTAAAGTATATTAAAATAGAAACCATTATTTTATATTGTAATAACATTTTTGCAAGATTTTTTTTTTCAGTATTTTTGATTAAATAAATGCAGCCTTGATGAGCATAAGAGACTTCTTTAAAAAACGTCTTACTGATCCCAAACTTTTGAGCGGTAGTATATACATATATATATATAGGGTGCGATTTGCCGGGGGGGATGGGGGGATTTCCCCCCCTCTGGTCTATGCATCCCTGCCTCTGCTGAATTATTTTTATCCCCACCGGGGATAAAAAACATTCTGTGAACCCGCTCCGACGTCCAGATCTGAATCAAATGATTCGCCATACGCAATCCAAATGGAGCGTTTCGAAACAGTGAATCGTTTTGCGACGCAATGGTTTAACTGATTTGGAGTTTCAAAAAGCTCCGTTGATGCTGTGTTCTTTGCTCACTTTCTCTATAATCTATTCGTTGTTTGAATAACTGTGGAAATGAAATCATTACAATTAATAGGCCAAACTTACAATGTTTTTATTAAATTTTGATCATGTTAAATACAGTTTCCGTCGTATTAAAAACATTTCATGACTAAAAATGTTCATAAATTTTTATGACTAAATATATGTTTTTAGACTAAAAACTAGGGGAAGTCGTGGCCTAATGGTTAGCGAGTCGGACTCATAACCCAAAGGTTGTGGGTTCGAGTCTCGTACCGGCAGGGATTGTAGGTGGGGGGAGTGAATGTACAGCGCTCTCTTCCACCTTCAATACCACGACTGAGGTGCCCTTGAGCAAGGCACTGAACCCCCAACTGCTCCCCGGGCGCCGCAGCATAAATGGCTGCCCACTGCTCCGGGTGTGTGTTCACGGTGTGTGTGTGTTCACTGCTGTGTGTGTGTGCACTTTGGATGGGTAAAATGCAGAGCACTAATTCCGAGTATGGGTCACCATACTTGGCCACATGTCATGTCACGTCTCATGTCAAGTCACGTCAAAAAGACGGGTAGTTGGGTCAGCCTCCGCCTATGGAGTTTTATACGCCTATAAAAAGTTTTCAAAAGCATCCCTGTATATATATATATATGTATATATAATTTTGTCACTTCATTTCATTAAATCTTCTTTTCTCACTTCTTGTCGTATTTATTTTTATTCACTTTTCATCTCATTTAATCTTGTATTCCTTTCATATTCCTTTCCTTTTCTATTATTTTGGATTTTTTTTATTTTAGTTTTATTTTATTTATACCATTTTCTTGATTTAATCTCACTTCATCTAGTCTTCTCTTCTCGCCTTTTCCCTTTTCTTTTTTTTATTTTATTCTCATGCCATTTCATCTTATATCCTCTCTTTTTTTTTGTCACATATTTTGAACTTTTTATTTTATTATTTTTAATTATATCTTAAGTAAATAGTCTGGTCAGACAGCAGCTGTCTGTCACACCAAAAAATAATCTTATTTACTACCATTTACAACATGAAATATCATTGAAGCACATTAAACTTCGTGTAAGATGTTTCCCGGTTGAAAGAACATTAGGCAGGAAATAATGTAGGTTGTGATTTTATTTGATCAATCAGGACTTGATTGAATTGCGAATGTCATGATACGGCTGATTAATCATAATATTTTCCCCAACTATGCAGCCTTAGTTACATCAGCTGAAAAGTATCATTACGGAGAATGTTTTCACATTATAATTTTTAAATATTATGAACAAAGACATTTTATATTTCTTCAGAACATCACATTAACCCATGAATGTTCATTGAGAAAGCAAACAAGGCGCATGTTAGGGTTATCATGTTGTCTTTCTTTCTTTGTCACAGGCAAAGACTACCAGCCAAGAATGTGTATTACTACCGCTGCCCCGACCATCGGAGGAACTACGTGATGTCTTTCGCCTTCTGTTTTGACCGCGAGGATGACGTTTATCAGTTTGCCTACTGCTACCCCTACACCTACTCCCGTCTGCAGCATTACCTGGCCAGTCTGGAGCGCAGAAATCTCGATTACCTACTGCGAGAGCAGCTGGGCCTCAGTGTGGTTAGTCATTGCATGTTTGCTCACTGCGTTGCCGCACGTCTTTGTTGCGTTTCAGGTGTTTCTGTCACTTTCTATTATGTATGCATCTTCCTGTATCTGCTGTGCACTGCACACTCATTTTCTTTAAGGGGGCGGACACATGTAAGTGTCTTTGAGGATGCATGAGTGTGTGTGTGTGTGTGTGTGTGTGTGTGTGTGTGTGTGTGTGTGCATGATCTGCACAGGTACTGGATCATTCACAGTGCCTACAGTCCCGTCTCGCTCTTATCAAATAATTGTAGAGGAAAACTCATTAGGAATGTTCAAGAGATTAAAGCCCTATTTTAGGGCCTTCATCACTTTCACGTTCGTCAAGGAGAGCCAGGCACGGGAAGCCACTGATGAAAGGACATTTATTGATAAGAAATATGGTGTCAATGGAAAAAAAGAAATCAGTTTCACATGAAATGGGATTTGAAAGGGCAAATATATCAGGGGGAAAATAAATGGCAAAACTATATGTTAAAGCGATGCAAGAACAGAAATACAGACTTAAGGGTGAATCTGGTGCTCTTATTGATACAGCCTGTGAAGAATTCACTCAGACTGCATAAAACAAGATCAGATCTTTAAGTCTTTAATGTTCACCAAGGCTGCATTTATTTGATCCAAAAAATACAGTAAAACAGCAATACTATGAAATACTATTACATTTTTAAATAACTGTTTTCTATTTTAATATATTTAAAAAATTTAATTTATTCTTGAGATGCCAAAGCTACATTTTCAACAGCCGTTACTCCAGTCTTCAGTGTCACATGATCCTTCAGAAGTCATTCCTAATATGCTGATGTGATGCTCAAGAAACTTTTCTTATTATTATCAGTGTTGAAAAACAGTTGTGCTGCTTAAAGGGGTCATATGATGCTTTTTTAAAGATAATTATACTGTGATGTGACCCTGTCTCTCTCTCTCGCTCGCTCTCTCTCTCTCTCTCTCTCTCGCTCTCTCTCTCTCGTGCTCTCTCTCGCTCTCTCGCACTCTCTCTCGCGCTCTCTCTCGTGCTCTCTCGTGCTCTCTCTCGCGCTCTCTCTCTTTCTCGTCCAAAGAGAAAGGAAAACTTGAAATCGCATCATATGACCCCTTTAATATATATTTTTAACTTGATACATTGTTTTCATGATTCTTTGCTGAAAAGAACAGCCTTTTTTCAAAATATAAATCTTGTGTGACATTATACATGCCTTTGCTGTTATTTTTTATCAATTTAACTCTTCCTTGCTGAATAAAATTTTTCATTTATCCCCCCCCCAAAAAAAAAAATCTTTCAGCTAAACTTTTGAACAGTATATATGTAAACCTAAAAATACTAAATGAAAAATAGAAATGTTTTCTTAGCAAATAACTGAAATAAAATAAGTTTAACTAAAATTACTTAAACTAAAACTGAAAGAAAAATGTAAAGCTAAATATAAATATTAAAAAACATGACTGACAAAACCACATAGCAAAATTACAAACAAACTGAAAGTGAAATTAAAATTGAAAATATAAAAATAAAAGCTAATTCAAAATATTATTAAATAATATAATAATACTGAAATAACACAGGTAGAGGTCCTGAGTTTTGGTAAAGACAAAAAAAAATCCCTCGTATACTGCAAGGAAAAGCATACATTTTTAAGTGTCTGAATATTTTGGCAGGAGCCACTGGGCCTCCCTTGCCATTTCATTAGCATGTACAATCAGCCTTTTTTATAATTCATGTAGAAGATATAATGTCAGAAATAAAGCAAGAATGAAAGGATAGATACTGAATGTTGGAGAAAAAAAGTGAGGGAGGGACATTGAGATAGAACAAGAGAAAGTGAGAGCGAATGTATTTGTATGCACAGGCATAAGGACATTTTATGGCCTTATTTGTCTTTTTATGTCTTCTGTTCTTGGGTATGTGGCAGTACAACACTCTTAATGACCTGCAGAGATGGAGGAGAGAGGGAGGGAACAAAGAAAAAGAGCAGGATGAGGCTACAACAGCTTGGACTGCAGTAGTAAAACACTCTCTGGTGTAACACACAGACGTGATGTACTTAAACAGAGGATCTGTGAGGAGGAAGTCCATGTGCGCACACACACACACCTACACACGTGCTATAGGTAAAGCACCAGAGAACAAGCCTGGATTCAGTGTAATACTGGGATTACTTCTCTCATATCTTTCACTTTCAATGAGGCAAGTAAATGCGAAGAGCGTTCCACAAAAAGACTCGTCTAGTACATCTCAATTACCTCTTTTGCTCTGTTAATGCTTCGCCTCTCAGGGTCAAACACGTTTCTTTTTTAGAAGTCTGCTGGCTGGTGAGGTACAACTGTTTTACATTCACATTTGTAATACAACAACCAATCAGATTCCTCTCTATCCAGAGGTCTATGAAGATGAATCCGATCGAGCGTCGCCACAAATCAGTGTCCAAACACCCCAAATATGCTCATAAGGACTATTTTCACAACTTTAAAATGCAGACTCGCAACAACTGTCATGTTCAACAGCAATCGTCACATCTCTTTATTGTATCTTTAGTCATCAAAGTCCTCTAACAGCGTTATAAAGACAGAGAAGCATAGCGGGTTTTGACAGTCGCTTTGATGGATGATTATGCGTAGAAGCTTCTTCTATAGTCAGCTCGTCTGTTCGCCGCTGCCCATTTCGAACGTCGAGTTCGCATCAGCAAATGGAGAATGAAGTTGTTTTGAAGGCTGCGCATCCAGATCCATTATCCATATCCGAGTGTGAAATGCTCGAGCCATCTGAATATTTAAAAGAGATCAAACTCAGATCTGCATTTATATGGATGTGAATTATTTAGACAGTGCAGTGTAACATACAGATCTTGTATAGCACAAGCAGCATGATCTTTGTAGATTAAAATAAGTGTATTGGATTAAATATTTAAGCATATATAACTGTTTATTTTTGCATAAAAGCGGAAGGCCTCAGGGTCTTTGTTGATGCTCAGTTATCGTGACTCAGATGACCTGCCTCTCTAGACAGAGCTCCCCTGTTTCATCCTCTCCTTTCATGCATCCTTCAGTCGTTTTCTGTTGGCAAAGAGCCTGTCAATCTCAACAGAGGCCCGTCATGTGACTCGAGCCCTGCTTTCTCACACAGGTGCCTGTTTGTGTTGAATTCTGAGTGCCTGCTCCTTTAAAGATGTGGAGCCGGAGAAGGAGACAGAGCAACAGTTGTGGATCTGACAGGCTTGCAAGAGCACTTACTGCAACAAAGAGCAGAGACAAAGACAAGCAGACAGACAGAATCCAGCCTGAGGGCCTGACCGGCACTCTCTGCTTCACTTCACGTCTCTCTCTGTCTCTCCGTATAGCAATTTGCATCTATATATTCAGGTTTACATTCATATAGTCAGACTTATAAAAATATAGATTTTTTTTAAATTATGATTTCCTCGTTTTGCTATATTGAAATTGAAATGCTGTATTGTAATTTAATATGTTCCATTTTTTTTTACTTGAAATATTGTAGCTTTAAAGGGGTCATCGGATGCCCATTTTCCACAAGTTGATATGATTCTTTAGAGTCTTAATGAAAAGTCTGTAACATAGTTTGGTTAAAATGAGGGACTGTTTACTTTAGCCGCATTCATCGTGAAACTTGCTAATTAGCACATTATTAGGAAAGGCGATTTGCAAAGATTCATTAAAAAACCTTACACTCACTTCTTCTGGAGTTGAAGCTGGATCACGAATGATTCGCGTGAACATAAACGCATTTAGGTAGATCGGGGGCGCATTCCCTTCAGAAACAAACGTAATTCACTGTGTCTTCAGTGGCTCAGATGTTGGGAGTAAATGATGACTGCTATGTTCAATCATTATTACATCCAACAACAAAACACCTCAGTCGCTTTGGAGACATTCTTGTCTTCATCTGCTCCGGTGGTGAAACAATGGCGGATTGATGACAGCTCACTCAGGGCGGGTCTATTTTTATCATTATAGGGTGGTTGTGTACACACACTGCCAACACACATTTCAGTTCAAACAACCTGTAAAAGTGCATGTAGCATCCGATGACAACTTTAAGTTTGTAGAAATTACAAGGAGAAAATGAAAGTCTTCTTTAGAGCTTCTATAACGCAAAAGACTGAATGTCCTAAATACTGTCCAGACAGTAAGCAAGTCATTATTTATTTAAGTACTTATTGCATTTTTAAACAATGATTCAGATAATTTTGGTACGGATCCCCGCACATGACATGCAGGGAAAAAAAGTCAATCGTGCGCACAATTTACTATTTCATTCCCTCGTTTTAAGTAAATTGTGCCCACAAAATAATAATTTGTTCTACTTGCTGTGTGCATTCTCATAAACTGATATAGATGCCTCTCACTTAAAATGATTCCATGTAACGCTGTAAGGCTTTTGAGAATGTGTGTGTATATAAGAATAAAACTCAGAATAAAACTCGATTAAAGTGTCTCTGTCCATAACATAACAGCAGCAACAGGTTTATGAAAATATGGACAGGAAGTAGAACAAATTATTATTTAGTGCGCACAATTTACTTAAAACAAGGGAATTAATTAGTATATCATGCGCACGGTTTAGTAAAATGAGGGAACGAATTAGTAAATCGCGCACTCGTTTCACCTTTTTTTTTCCTGCATGTCAGGTGCGGCTTTGTATTACGGAGATTCCATGAATCAGTTTTGTAACAAATTTTTTTTTTTAGCTTCTTTTAGCTCTAAAAATGAATTTTTAATAAGTGCCAAAATGTAGGGTGAATCATGTTAATCTCATCAGACCCAACTCTAAAGGTGTATACAGTAAATGTTTAAAAGCTTTATGCCACAAGTGTGTACTTGATCAGTTTGTCATGCCTAGAATGCAAGATAGTAACCAGTTCCTTTAAAAACAGAACAATTTGTTCTATGATCAAGTTGAACTTCATGCCCATTGCTGTAAAGAGGAGTGATGTACATTTAAAACAGGCCTTGAGGAA